AAACCCTATTGCAACCTCTACTTTAAAATCCATGACTCTGGTGGTTTCCAGGGAAAGAAGTGTGCAAGGAAGAGCCAGGCAGTGCTCAGGCTACCCTTAGATCCATTTCCCTGATACCATGTTGTCTTGTAAATGTTCTCAAACCCACTGATGACAAATTCATGTATAATTTAAAAAGTAAATAACCACCCTTTTATAACCATACAAGAAACAAGCCACTGGTTGTCAAGGTTCCCTCCCTCTACACACATGGTGACTCCCATGGAAGTTTTATACATGTACAGTTTTGACTTTTTTTTTTTTTGCTCTTTAGTTTTAGTATGCATTCCACCAGGAAAACGAAGCTGCTCCTGGAGGCTCAGCTGAATAATCATCTCCACTTGTGATGATAGCTATGAGGTAAAATACAACTTAATGCTTGACTTTGCAGGCCTAAAGCTGGTATTCTATAAGAGGATAAAAATATGCAGCGTAGCATTTCTGGGGGATCTCCTTCTGAAGGTGGAAGCCATTGTTAATTCCCTGGTATTTTGCTTCAAAATCCTGCATCAATGCCATTGTTTTCTTTGGTTGAGTTTTATTGTTTTATCTTGTTTGATTTTATATCTGGTGGCAGAGGCAGCATTTGAAAGAAAACAAGATCTATGATAGCCATTTTGGATTTACCATTATTTTGCCTTGAAGTCTTCTATTGCACTCATTGTTTTGCTTCTGTTGGTTCTATTCTGTTTTGGTTTTTTGGTGGTGATGAATCTCTTAAGGTGCTCCTTGTCATTGAAATATCTCATTCTCCATCAATTTTGAAGGCAATTTTTGCAGGATACCTAAATTGGGTTTGGAGGATAGTATCCTTTTCTTTCTTTTCTTCCTTCCTTCCTTCCTTCCTTCCTTCCTTTCTTTCTTTGTTTCGTACCATGAATCAAACTCATGACTTTGCACTTGCCAGGCAAATGCTTATGCCACTCAGCTAAATCCCTGGCCTGATGGTATCTTTTCACTGCAAGCCTCCTGGCCTTCAAAGTATGTACTGAGTGGATACAAAGGTTTACCCTTATGTGGGTCTCGTTCCCTTTCTTTAACAGCTTTCAAAATTTTGTCCCTGTGATGAGTTTCTTGCACTTTGAGTGTAATGTGACCCAGAGAGGTTCTGTTTCACTCATGGCTATTTGGGATTCACTATGCATCACTTATCTATATGTTTATTTTTTCCTTATATTTGAAGATTTTCTGCCATCATTTCTGTGAATAGCTTTCTAATGTCACTTATGTTCTCTTCGGAATTTTCACTTATCTCAGTTACTCCTTCATTAGTGTTCTTTGCATTTTCTAGCAGGCGTTGGATCTATTTTTCATATTCTTTTGTTGCTTTGAGGATGTTTTTGAGTAACTGACCTTGGAAAATTTTTTCTACCTTTGAAATTCTTTCCTCAAATTGGTAGCTTTTTCTGCCCACACTTGCCATGCAACATTTGATCACCTGAATTGCTGACTGAAACCTTTTCACAGACTCTGATCCTTTTCTAAATTGATCATTCATGAGTTATACAATTTTGGTTAGCTCATTGAGATTTTTACTATTGTCTTCTGCATCACTTGGTTATTACTTTCCATTATTTATTTCGGTATATCTTCTCTGATGCCACTGAGTATCTCTCTGACATTAAGTTGCTAAAGTTCTAACATCACTTTCTAAGACATATACGTTGTGTCTTTAAACATTATCTGTTCAGGATGAAGTGATAACAAAATTGGTACCAATGTTTAGTTTTTTTTCTTAAATTATTATGACCATAATGCATCTTATATAGGACAATTTTTAGTAAAATGGCTTGTCGCTTTTCTTTAGAGGCACAGTAGTTCCTTTTTTGATTACTGGAAAAGATTGGAATCAGTAGAAAAAACAAGAGTGATATGTAGGGGAATCAAGATGTAGTTATTATCATTATTATTTTCTGGCACTGGAGTTTGAACCCAGAATCTTCACACCTTCTTTCATTTTTCTGACAGAGACTAATTTGCAAAGTTGTCCAGGTTGGCCTAAAAGTTGTGATTCTGCCTCATTATCCCTTTATATCTGTTGCCCCACTTCCACCACACATTTGACCAGATTCTTATTTCTTTATTATTATTATTATTGTCTTTTTGAGATAGTCTTGCTATGCAGTTCAGGCTGGCCTTGAGCTTACTTTGTAGCCCAGGCTGCAATGATCCTCCTGCCTCAGCCTCCTGAGTGCTGGAATTATGAGTGTGCCACCATTCCTGGCTTATTTTTGTGTTTTTGAGACAGGGTCTCACTATGCAGTTCAGGCTGGCCTTCAGCTCCCTCTGTAGCACAGGCTAGTCTCAAACCCACAATGATCCTCCTGATTCAGTCTCTGAAGTGCTGGGATTACAGGCCTGTGCCACCATACCTGGCTAAGATTCATATTTAAACCAGCATTGTAGGGGATGGGGATTTAGCTCAGTCGCATAAGTGCCTGCCTTGCAAGCACGTGGTCATGAGTTCGATCTCTGATATCGTTGAAAACAAAAACAAAAACAAAAACAAACCAGCATTGTAGGTGATGATTCACATAAATATCTAGGCACGAAGATATTGTTTTAAAGCAAGAAAAGCAATGCTGGGGTTGGTGGCTGAGGCCTGTAATCCTACCACTTTGAGAGGCTAAAGCAGGAGTATTTCAAATGGGAGCCAGCTTGAGCAACTTGGCAATTTAGTGAAATGCTGTCTCCAGATAAAATAAAGCATATGAAAGGGCTTGGATGTAGCTCAGTGGGAAGACATTGGGTTCAATCCCCAGTACCATACATATAAAAATGAGACAACCAGTAACCATTTAGGTGGGCAACATCATAACTCTGGGGAGAGTTGGACCAGATCAAATAAGGCTTTTCCTACCTCCTCTAATCAATCTGCCTATTTTGGCCTGCCTCACACTAAGACCTTCAGCCTCTTTATGGAGAACTGGAAAGAGCCCATGAAAAGCTCCATCCTGGGCCGGGTGTGGTGGTGCACACCTTTATTTCCAGCATTTGGGAGGATGAGACAGGAGGATCACTGCAAGGCCAGCCTGGGCTACACAGTGAGTTCAAAGGCAGCCTAAACTACCCAGACTCTATGCCAAAAAAAAAAAAAAAACAAAAAAAAAAAAAAAAAAAAAACAAACAAGAAAACAAAAAAACAAAAAGCAAACAAAGAAACAAGCTCCATCCAAAGCCAGAGGCTGAAGGGAAGATCGGTTTGGTAGATACTGTATTTAGAATGACTGGGAGGAAGTACATTAAAGCACAGTAGAAAAGGGGGACAAAATGGCTTCAGACCTTTGGGCTTGAAGTGGTTATTTTAATGGTATGCCATCTGGGTTAAGAGCCTAGGTCAGAAAGAATTCCTGAGGCTGGGGATTTAGCTCAGTGGCATAAGCACCTGCCTTGCAAGCAGGCGGTCATGAGTTCGATCCCTGGTACCGATAAAAAGAAAGAAAGAAAGAATTCCTGTAAGGAGAAGTAAAAAGATATGGTTTGGTTGAGATTTGCTGAGTTTGAAGTGCTTCTAGGATATCCTAGTAAGGATGTTCAAAGTCAGCATCTCAAAGAAAGATCTGGTGTAGGTACATGGATTCGAGAGTCATAAGCTAACAGACAATAATGGAAATGAGTGAAATCATTGCTGGAGAGGAAATACAGAAGTCTGGAACAAAACCTCAAAGAACAGGTAAGGAAAAGTTGAAGAGTAAAAACTTGCCAGTAGTGCTAAGGACAGACATAACAGGAAAACCAGCTTTCAGAGTTCAAAAGGAGTGACAAATGGAATTATATTGAGCTCAGCAATGGTGACTTTGAAGAGAGTGACTGGAGCTAAAGGTGCGGTACCAGATGGCAGTGGATTGAGCAGTGGGAGATGAAGGTTGGAGACTGCTGGAACAGGCATTTTCAGGCTGATGGGCCAAGAATGGAGTCTTATGGTCATAATATAATAATCTGAGGGATTTTGTTGTTGGGACTTTTTTTTTTTTAATTTGTTTTTGCTTTGGGAGGCAAGGTCTCCCTACCTAATCCAGGCTGTCCTTGAACTCACAGCAACCCTCCTTCCTCAGCCTCGGGGCTGGAGTACAGGTGTGAGCCACAAAACCCAGCTGTTGCAGAGTTGTTGTTCTCCGTTTCTATGCTAACAGAAGAGTGAAAAGAAAGTACAGCGATATAGGAAGTAAAAAAACCAACTGAGAGGCACAGGATAGAATCTAACGGATAGACATCAGAATTATTCTTCAAACAGGAGGGGTCTACATCTATTTTATACGTGGATGGGAGGAGGAAAGGATTGGCTGGTTTGGGAGCTTCCTGTTGGGTAGCTCTCCCTGAGTTTCTCTTGAAGCTGGAGAACAGGCCTTGAATAAAAGTTTGTTGAATGGATAAATGAACATTTTTCCTCAGCCAAAATCAAGGGTTAGTAGGGGGACATAAGTGTTTGTCGTATTTTAGGCAAAAGCACGGTGGGAAGCAGCTAGACACTCAACTTTAACATTAGAGATGAGGCTGAGAGCAAGTGGGATGTTCCTGTAAACGCGGAGGCTACTGCATTCGGCTGGCAGAGCAAGTTTTTTTTCCAGAGCCTCTTGCTGGGGTTTTGATATAGGCTCTCTCCTCCATGTCTAGTCCTTTTGCCTGTCACAGCCTACCTCTTAAGTCTAAGGCCTGGAGACTCCTGGTCCTCGCGGAGGAGCAGCTGGAAGCCACTTTGATTATGTTCCACTACAAAAGGAGGACAATACGGCCCCGCCCAGAGCGAGGCGCGCCTCCTCCCCCCGCCCCCCACCAGACAGTTCGAGTGCGCGTGTCCGCGCATCTTCCCGCCGGCCAGGCGGGAACCTAGTCCAGGTAGCAGCAGCCCTGGCGGGGGGGGGGGGGGGGGGGGTGGTTTATGTAAGCGTTGCGCGCTCCCACGAGGAGGCAACCAATAGAAAGTCCCGCCAGGTCGTGCTCGCGCACGCAGGGCGGGGGGAAGAAGCGCGAGACGTGCGCGCGCCCTCTATCTCGCCACCGCTGCCGCCTCCTACTGCTGGCCGTGGTGCTGCTTGTGTGCTCCTTCGGCGGACCTGGTACCTCTTTTGTGAAGCGGCAGCTAAGAAGACTGGCGCTCGCTATGGCCGACGAAAAGCCTAAGGTGAACTCCATGGCGCTTTCTGTCTTCAGCTCGCGACAGGCAACAGTGGGGCTCGGGTCTGGCCGGAGCCCGCCCCGGGCTCCCCGCGCCTTCTCGGGCCCCCCACGGGCGGCCACGGCTCAGGCCGGGGCGCTCCGCCTCATTTTCCCTCCCTCCCTCTCTTCCTCCCTCCCGCGCAGGAGGAGGCCAGCCCCCCAACCCCGCCCCACCTCCACCCCCCGAGGGGGGAGGGGCAGCGGCCCTTCCTCAGGTGCCAGCGCCCCTAGAACCGGAGGGTACCTTGTAGTTTCAGGAAGTTGGAGCCTCAGATATGCGACCTTAGACTTAGTGGAACAGAACTTCTGAGCGCGGTTTTTGAGGTACCAGGAAGCTTCCCGTGAGGATGGGAACGTGCGTCTGAGAGGCAAAAGGAACTTGCTCCTTTGGGGTGCATTGACACCGCCTCTGCTTTCCGAAGTGGTTTAGGAGCTGCAGAATTCCTTTCACACTAGATTTTGGTGAACTTCGGATTGAGTTGAAATCTACCGAGAAGACAAGAAAACAGTGCATTTTACTTACGACAACAAAGGGAAAGGAATATAAGACTTCGTAACTAAAGATCATTCGTGTGTGTGTGTGTGTGTGTGTGTGTGTGTGTTTAACGCATATATTGAATTTGTTATGAGGCTTAATTTGGTAACTTTATCAAGAGTCTTGTAATATGTGAATTGCAAGCTCATTTTTCCCCCTCGCCTCTTGCACTGTTTCAGCAGTTATCCTTTAAGTGCTTCCCAAAGAAAAAGACATTTTTATCTATAGGATATTTTGTCAGTGATAGAAAACGGCATTTAAAACAATTCAGTCTCAAGACAACAATGCAATAAATTGGGAACCATCACTTAAAATCTGTTACCTTTGATAGTGTTAAGCATAGGCTTTTCTGTTTCTGTGTCAGCTACCTAGTACTATTGCAGGGTACCTCTCATACCGACTTCAGTGACTGAAAACAGCTGTATGCTATTTTATCATAGGGAATGAAACCTGTTGACTTGTGAACCAGTTTGGACTGCTGCTACTTTAAAAGGTGCCTGGTTTTCACATTTTCCAACTTACACTTTTTTCTTTCAACAGGAAGGAGTCAAGACTGAGAAGAACAACGACCTTATTAATTTGAAGGTGGCATTTGAAGGTGGTGGGGCAGGATGGTTCTGTGGTGCAGTTTAAGATTAAGAGGCATACACCACTTAGTAAACTAATGAAAGCCTATTGTGAATGACAGGTGAGCAATTGGTATGTGCAATTTAATACATTCCAAAAAACAATTTCCTTGAGCCTAGAAACTAAGGTAGCATAATACTACAGTAACTGTTCCTGATTGGATGCATATGCATGTATATCTTTGGTATATCAGCTTTTATTATGTATTTGATTCCTCATGAAAATTCTGAGCTTGGTTAGTATTGCTTAGGAGTATATTATACTGGAATGTATCAGGTTGTAGTCACCGACTTGTTTGGTCCTCAAGAGAATGTAATTTTACTTTTGTAAGAAAATGAGTGGATTTGATGAATTTTTCTCAGGCTTATTTATTTATTTGGTACTGGGGGTTGAACTTAAGACCTTGTGCTTGCTAGGCAGGTGTTTATGTTACTGAGCTAAATCCCAACTCCAGGCTTATTTATTTATTTAAAAAATTTTTTTCTTTTGTCTTTTTTTTTTTGTCTTTTTCGTTTTTATCGGTACCAGGAATCGAACTCAGGACTGCCTGCTTGCAAGGCAGGCGCTTATGCCGCTGATCTAAGTCCCCAGCCCTATGCTTATTTATTTTTTAAGTTAATTGATTGATCGATCATTTGATTGGTTTGAGACAGGGTCTTATCACTGTATAGTCCAGGCTGGGCATTAAATTTAGGTTGGCCTTGAACAGTTGGCTGTCCTCTTGCTTCAGCCTTCAAAGTGTTGGGTTTACAAGTGTATACCACCACACCTCACATTCTTTTTTTTTTTTTTTTCCCCAGTGGTTGGGGAGGTAGCTTTGAGAGAGGATCTTGCTGTGTGGCTGGCCTCAAACTCAAGGCCATCCTCCTGCCTCAGCCTCTCACGTGCTGGGATTAGAGGCCTGCACTACCGCACCCCATGTTTTTATTTATTTATTTTTAAACACTATGCATGGTGGCACAGGCCTCATCTCAGCATCTGGGTAGTTGAGGTACCATTGCAAATTCAAGGCTGGTGTGGGTATTTAGCCAGATCCAGTTTCAAAGTAAAATGAAAAGGACCCGGAATGTAGCTCAGTGAGAGCACTTGCCTCCCATGCAGAGGTCCTGGGATGATCCCTAATACCATGAAATACTTTTTTGTTTTGTTTAGAGATAGCCTCATTGTGCAGTCCAGGCAGGCCTTGGATGCATGATCCTCCTGCCTCAGCCTCTTGAGTCCTGGGATTCCAAGCATGAGCCAACACACCTGGATTTTATAATTGTTTCTATTTGTGGTATTGGAGATCAAACCCAGTGTTACACAGGTTTGGCCCAAGTGTGCATTTTGCTGCACAGCCAACAACCCTAATTCCAGAGCCCAGAAAATCAGTAATTGTGAGCCAAGATAAACATTGTATTAAGTGTACATTTGTATTTTACTCAGAAAGACACTGTATAGACATTAAGAAAAGGAAATAGAGGAAATGTCTCGCTTTTATTTTCTGTGTGTTAGGGGTTGAGCCAAGGACCTTCATGATCTTCTTGCCTCAGTTTTATATGGTGCTGGTATTACTGGTATACCCCATTGTGATCAGCCATGCCCACCCCCCTACTTCATTGAACCTAGATCTTTGTACTGCTACATGCCATTTATTCATGTATGGAAGTGGTGGTAGCACTGAGCCTTATCCCCGTTGTTATTTTGAGGCATAGTCTTGCTAAAACCTTGCTGGAGCTGGATATGAATTTGAAGCTCAGCCTCTCAAAAAGTGTTGGGATTACACGCATGTGTATCTTAGATTGGGTTTAAAGACACAATGGGGCCCAGGCTGGCCTCAAATTTGCCACACTCCTGCCTCAGTCTCCTAAATGCTGAGATTATAGGCATTTGCCACCATACCCAGTTTAATATTTTGTAGTTTTGTCTGATTTTCATTAGATGCCTACCATGTGAAGCATATTATATTAGGAGTCAGAAGACAAAAATCCTGAGCATTCTATGTACTCCACATTGTCTTTAGGAGATTATCCTGTAAAAATGAGTTAACAGTATGTTGGCCTTTAACCAGCCATAATTCCAACACTGAGAGGCTGAGGCAGGAAGAGTACAGCTTTGAGCTCTTCCTCCTGGGCAGTTTGTTCATTTTTTTTTCCACAGCAAAGTTTTATTAAAGGTAGAGAAAGAAACAGGTTCTGCAGAGTGAGTTAGGACCAAGTAAAAATAGGAAAAGAGGCTCATCCTATTGCGTGAGAAAGACCCACTATGCAAGAGAGAGCACTGGCCTGGGCAGTTTAGTGAATTGGCAAGACCATGTCTCAGAATAGAAAATGGGAGGCAGCTCAGTGTGAAGGCCCTGGGTTCTATCCCTTGTATCATGAAAAATTAAAAGGATTTGGAATGTAACTCGATGAAGAGGCCCTGGGTTAAATTGCCAGTATTGCCAAAAGAGAAAAGTTAAAAGCTGGGCATGGTGGTGCACTCCCAGTGTAATCCTAGCATTCTGGAGACTGAAGTGGAAGGATCTTTGAGAGTTTGAGACCCTGAGCTATAAAGTGAGCTCAAGACCACCCTGAATTGCATAGTTAGACCTTGTTTCTTTCTTTCTTTTTTTTTTTTAATGGATACCGGGGATCGAACTCACAACCACGTGCTTGCAAGGCAGGTGTTCATACCACTGAGCTAAATCTCCAGCCCCAGGTAGACCTTGTTTCAAAAAGACAAAAAGAAAAGTATCTGCCAGGCATACTGATACATATCTATAATCTCAACATTTAGAATGTTGAGATAGAATTGCCAGGTGTTTTAGGCCAATGTGAACTACATGTGAGACCTCATCTCGAAAAAACCAAATTAAAAATATCGGTATGAGGCTGGGGATGTACTTCAGTGTCTTAAGTGCCTGCTTGGCAAGTGCAAGGTTCTACTTGATTCCCCATACCAAAAAAAACAAATACAGGTGTCTTTTTCTTTTTCTTTTCTTTTTTTTCTTTTGGTCTCTGAGACAGGGTCTCACAGTGCAGTTCAGGCTGGCCTTGAGTTCACTTTGTAGTCCAGGCTGGTCTGGAACTCAGAACAATCATTCTGCCTTGGCTTCCCCAGTGCTGGGATTACAGGTGTGTGCCACCACACCCAACTAGTAGATTCCAATTTTAAAGATTATGTGTGTAACCCCAGCCTTTGGAAGGCTGAGGCAGGAGGATTGCCTTGAGTTTGAGGTCAGCCTGGATCACACAGGGAGACACTGTCTCAAAAACCAGAAAACCTCAGGAGCTTGCACTTGCTAGACAAGCACTGGTGCTGCTGAGCTAAACCCCCCGCTGGTTGATTTGTAAATAAGTTTTGTTTTGCTTTGCTTTTGTTTTGTTTTGTCTTTTTGAGACAGGGTCTCACTATGTAGTTCTTTGGGGGTTTTTTTGGTACCAGCAATCGAACTCATGACCTCACATTTGCCAGGCAGGCACTTACGCTACTGAGCTAAATTCCCCACTATGTAGTTTTGACTGGTCTTAAACTCACTTTGTAGCATAGACTGGCTTTGAACTCACAGCAATCCTCCTTTCTTTGCTTCCTAAGTGCTAGGATTGCAGGCATATGCCACCACACCAGGTATAAATAAGTTTCCAGTGTGGATTTATCCTGGCTCTTTTGTAGAGTGGTGGGTGCTTTCTTTTTTCTTGTTTTTTTTTTTTTTTAAATGAGTACCGGGGATCGAACTCACAACTGCCTGCTTGCAAGGCAGGCGCTTATGCCGCCGAGCTAAATCCCCAGCCCCAGTGGGTGCTTTCTGAGAACACAGAATTTTATGGATTTAGATTAGCTCCTTTTGCAAAATGAAAAAACAGGGAGGGACCTAAAGGAATTTCCTAAGTCTCAGGGCAGAGGCAGAGCTAAGTCAGCAATGAGATTTGTGCTGAAGGGGAGCCCAAGTTCTGGTTTATATAATCCTAAAAGAACATTTTCTTTGAACTTTATCTTTTGTCAATCCGAAGGCAAGTAGAGAATTTCTTTGATAAGGAAAATCATAAAAAGGAGTAAAACCATCTGACAAAGTAGTTATGAGAAACTAAAGTAAAACGATGACTATAAGGGATTTAACCGGGAAATATTTCTTGGTGGGGCTTTAAAAATTCTATTTATATTGCTCTTTCAGGCATTCTGTATGCCTTTTCAGTTCTCTGAAATACAAGTGGCTATAAAAAAATACAACTTTTGTCTGCGATTTTGCTTTTTTTTTTTTTTTTTTTTTTTTTGGTGCCAGGAATCGAATTCGGGACCTTGTGCTTGCATCACTAAGCTACATTCCTGGCCCGATTTTTTGTCTTTTTGAGACAAGATTTCGCCAGCAGTTGAGGCTGGCCTTGAACTCATTTTGTAGCCCAGGTTGGTCTGGAAGGCAGTGCTATCCTCCTACCTCAGTCTCCTGCCTCAGTCTCTGAAGTGCTGGGATTACAAGCGAGCGCCACCGTGCCCAGCGTTTTTTTTTTAGTCCTAAATGACCACCATTGAGTATACCAGTGGATGTAGTGAAGGCAGGATCCAGCATACAGAAGGTATTTGTTGTGTTACGACACAGATTCTGGCTGTGTAGTTCAGGCTGGCCTTGAACTGGAGTTTATCTTTCTGTCTCCGCCTCCCAAGTGCTGGGGTTACATGGGTGTCCCACCATGCCTGATATTGCTTAGTATTTGGTTGAAGCAGGAATCCAGTATGGAGTGTTTTGTTTGCAAATTTATAATATTCCGCAATGAATGGCGTGGCATTGAATGTTGCTTTCTATAACCACAAATTGAATTTGAATGTTACAAATAATGAATTAAAAATTATAGGTGTCTCCTGCCTGGTAGGGAATGCTTGTATTCGAGGAAGACAAGGCATAGTCTAGAAGTGGTGTCAAGCACTTGTGCTAGGGTTTTAAAGGAAGGCAGTATGATCTTGTTACGCATAGATTTTAAAGTAGATTTAGTGACACCTTGTTAAAATCAGGGTAAAGAAGCATTACACTAATGTTCACTTTGCCTACAGGGGATCCAATCCAAAGGCACTATCATTGAGCTACACTCCTACCCCTTTATTTTGCCA